ATCTGTTATGGATATTCTTAATTTTGAATACAACGATGATGATTGGCGTTTGTTCATTGATTCTTCTAAGGTCAGTTTAAAGGTTGTTCTCTTACATAATGGAAATGAAATTCCCTCAATACCGTTAGCCCATGGAACTGATATGAAAGAAACTTACGAGAATATGCAGTTTCTCTTAAAAAAATTCACTACGAAAGATATAAGTGGAAAATTTGTGGTGACCTAAAAGTTATTGCAATTTCACTAGGCTTACAACTTGGTTACACGAAATATTGTTGCTTCATCTGCGAGTGGGATAGCAGAGACAGAAAATTGCATTACTTGAAAAAAGATTGGCCACAACGTAAAGCACTCGTTCCTGGAATCAAAAATGTCCTCTTCCAGCCTTTGGTCGATCCTAAAAATATTCTTTTGCCACCTCTGCACATTAAATTAGGACTTTTTAAAAATTTTGTTAAATTTCCTAAAAAATTTCCTAAAATAAGTGAGGCAAAGATTAAGGAAGGTATTTTTATTGGGCCACAGATTAGAGAACTGCTGAAGGACTCGGAATTGCAATTGAGTTAAACAGAAATTACCGCGTGGAACTCATTCAAAAATGTAGTTGAGCATTTTTTAGGAAATATGTTGGCTGAAAATTATCGCGATCTGGTGGCTAATCTAATTGATTCATACCAAAAAATGGGCTGCAATATGTCTTTAAAACTTCACTTCCTACACCCCTTAAATCACCCGTTAATCTGGTTGTCTAAAGAAAACTAGACGTGATAGAAAAAATCTAAGTCCAGATTTGGAATCAGCACGCAAAATACCTCTAGGATCACTCAATAACATATCTAGGATAAAAAAAAAATTTTTTTTTGTTGACCTGTGTAATTTAACTTTTATAAATGCAAACTAAAAATACTCTTAAACCAAAATATTACTTTTCAATTTAATAAAAAAAAATGATCGTTTTAAAAATAGAATAAAATTAACGTAAAAGTATTATTGCATTAGATATAATATATTTAAGTAGAAATTATAAATAAAAAAAAACTTAAATGTAGATTTTTAACAAAATAAATGACTCGATTTTATTCAGAAAATTTAGATTTGACAGCTGCTTTACGTTCTTGTCGTGTCAAAAAAACCTATTAAATTGATTCAAACTTTATTAGTCAAATAAAGGTCGATTAAAGAATATTAGCAATTATAACATCACTAAGAAACTATATATAAATATGTCTAGATAATTCTTTTACAGAATGTGTTGTCAGGTGATTTTAAAACAAAATCTTAAAATATGAGTGATTCATAAACTGAACGAAAAAACTAGCGTCGTTGCCCTTCCAGTATCAGCAATTAATACAATTGAATCTATATGTCGAAAAAAATAACTCGATCAAATAAAGAGTTAAGCTACTTTATTTCATTTTGACAATGCTAATCCACACATATTTTCATAATACGGCTAATATTAGATCAACTGTACTAGTACGACTTAGTACACTCAATATCTAGATCAAATCATCAGATAATAAAGGAGTAATATTTAAAGTTGACAAGAAAATAGTCAGAAAAATTTAGAAATATTTGTAAAATAAAATTTAATAAAATCAATTTACAGGACAGCAATAATAATTCTCAATCAAAAATTAATGTTTATTTTATATTTAAGTTAATCAGTAATTTTTACATATATGTTCACATCAGCCCGTGGAATATCATAAGCAAACCATGTTGAATAGACTGCATAATCTCCACTCGGAATAGGTAAAACTGATAATTTATCTGCCACATAACTTGAATCAAGTTTCTCCACAATCAAATCATGCTAAAATATAAAACATTATAAAATATTTTTTAAAAATTCAATAGTAAAATACCTACATCAAAAGGACAGGTATGATTCATGTTTGTATGTTTCTTAATCAATGTGAACGCTATTTTTGTTACTGGATTATTAGGCGATCGTAAAAATTCGCAGGCATCGAATGTTATGTTGTATAGAAATGGCTTATAACCATTTGCCCGTTTTAAAAGAGCGTATCTGATCTAAATCAAGAATTAAAATGATATACATATTTCAATATTTGAGTTATTATAATTGAAAAATATATACACAGAACATACCTTAACTTCTGTTATTGGCAGTTTATACAGTTTAACTTTTAAGGACGTATATTTATATGAGCGGTTAACCGACTTTAAGAAACAATATTCGAAATCGGAAAATTCCTTATCAAGTGATTTACACACAATATTAGTAAATTCATATTTGGAAGTAGCCTTTAATATCATCAAAAATTTAGATATTTTAAAAATATATAATTAAAAATTTTACCTGTGCTGAGAATATGAACAACGAGATGCGTATTAAAATTATAAACAAAAATTTTGAACCCATCATTGTCGTTTATGTTTGAGTACAAATTTTAAATATTGAAAAAGTTTTCTTCTGAAATTTACACGATGAAAGCTTGATATTGTCACTGAATTTGCTATTTAACTAAAATGTATATTCTGAAAGTAATTTCGTGTTTATTAACCAAATCGTTTAATATTTTTTTAATTTCTCGTTGAATGATTAAAGTTATTATGTCGATAACTGTCGCAGTTAACAATAATTATTTTGACTTTATTTCCTTAATTAATTACAACCGATCAAATATTTATGTTTAACAAAAAATAATATGGTTCTCTACCCTCCATAGAGTAGCGCAGTGAAATGTCTATTGTGTCAGACGTTTATTAAGGCATATATATTTTTTAACAAAATTTTTACTAATTTAAACGTGTATCGATTAAAATCTCTATGGACTACTGACAGACAAAATTTCAGAAACAACTACTGATATTCTGTACTAATGTTGTTTATTTAAAGTTTCATTTGAATTGTTTCACTAACTGTTTTGTGGACATTTACATTAATTAAGTACATAACGGATGAAAAACGTTGGTGATATGTCATAAACACATACATATATTTAATATATACATTAATTAATGTCTTAAATTTTAGTTATAAAATCTGTAATTAAATTTGAATTCATTTACTTAAATTATATCAAATTGGTAAAAAGATGCAATTGTTTAAATATTATATATCTTAGAGTAATAGTTGATATAAAATATATAATGAAGTTGACCTCAAAGAGTAAACTGTCTTATTTCAAAAATTGAACACCACAATTTTGTAATAAGGGAGTAAAACCTCTAGTTGAAAACAAACTATTCAGAAAAATTTAGAAATATTTGCAAAATAAAATTTAATAAAATCAATATGAAATAAAAATAAATACAGGGCAGCAATAATAATTCTCAATCAAAAATTAATGTTTATTTTATATTTAAGTTAAATTTTAAGTTAATCAGCAATTTTTACGTATATGTTCACATCAGCCCGTGGAATATCGTAAGCAAACCATGTTGAATAGACTGCATAATCTCCAGTCGGAATAGGTAAACGTGATAGTAAACTTACCACATAGTTTGAATCAAGTTTCTCCACAATCAAATCATGCTGAGATATAAAATATTATAAAATATTTTTTAAAAACTTTAATAGTAAAATACCTACATCAAAAGGACAGGTATGATTCATATTTGAATGTTTCTTAACCATAGCGACCGCTATTTTTGTTACTGGATTATTAGGCGATCGTAAAAATTCGCAAGCATTTACTGTAATGTTGTATAAAAATGGCTTATAACCATTTAGCCTTTTTAAGAGAGCATATCGGACCTAAATGAAGAAATAAAATCATATACAAATTTTAATTTTTGAATTATTGTTATTTGAAATATATATATACGAAACATACCTTTACTTCTGTTATTGGTAGTTTGTGAAGTTTAACTTTCAAAGACATATACTTATATGAGCGATTAACTGACTTTAAGAAACAATATTCGAATTCGGAAAATTCTTTATCAAATGATTTACATACAATATTTGTAAATTCAAGTTTGGAAACAGCCTTTAATATAATAAACAATAAGGATATTTTAAAAATATATAATTAGGAATTTTACCTGTACTGAAAATATGAACAATGAAATACGTATTAGAATTTTATATACAATTTTTGATGCCATCACAAATATTTACATAAATTCTTTTAAAATGTATACGATGAAAGCTTAATATGGTAACTAAATTTGCTATTTTACTAAAACTCATATTTTAAAAGTTATTTCGTGTTTATTGACCAAATCATTTAATATGTTTTAAATTTCTCGTTGAATCATTACAGTTATTATATCGCAGTCAACAATAATTATTATGATTTTATTTCCTCCATTAATTACAACCGATCAAATACTTATGTAGAATGTAATCAAAAATAATATGGTTCTCTACCCCCCATAAAGTAGATTAGTGAAAGGTCTCTTGTGTTAGACGTTTATCGAGGCAAATATAACAAAATTTTTAACAAAATTTTTACTAATTTAAACGTGTATCGATTAAAATCTCTATGGACTGACAAAGAACATTTCAGTAACAACTACTGATATACTGTTTTGTTCTAATGCTATTTATATAAAGTTTCATTTGAATTGTTTCACTTATAGTTTTCGTTTACATTTATATTAAGTAAGTACATAGAATAAGTACATAGACGATGAAAAACACATACATATATATAATCTATACATTAATTAATGTTCTATAATAAATATAAATTAATGTTCTATAATAATAAATTCATTTAATAAACTAAATTAAATCAAATTAGTAATTATTTAAATATTATATATCTTTAAGTAATAGTCGATATATAATATATAATGAAGTTGAACTTAAAAAAGTAAACTGTTATATTTAAAATATAACATATAATATAACTGTTAAAAATAGAACACCAGAATTCTGTAATAAAGGAGTAATACTTATAGTTGATAATAAAGTAGTCGGAAGAACTTAGAAGTATTTGCAAAATAAAATTTAATAAAATTAATTTCAAATAAATTTAAATACAGGAGAGCAATAATAATTCTCAATCAAAAATTAATGTTTAATCTGTAGCCTTTAAGTATATGTTGACATCAGCCCGTGGAATATCATAAGCAAACCATGTTGAATAGACTGCATAATCTCCACTCGGAAAAGGTAAACGTGATAGTATATTTGCCACATAGTTTGAATCAAGTTTCTCCACAATCAAATCATGCTAAGATATAAAACATTATAAAATATTTTTTTAAAACTTCAATAGTAAAATACCTACATCAAAAGGACAGGTATGATTCAGGTTTGTATGTTTCTTAACCAATGTGAACGCTACTTTTGTTACTGGATTATTAGGAGATCGTAAAAATTCGCAAGCATCGAATGTTATGTTGTATAAAAATGGCTTATAACCATTTGCCCTTTTTAAGAGAGCATATCGGACCTAAATCAAGAAATAAAATCATATACAAATTTTAATTTTTGAATTATTGTTATTTGAA